GAGGGAGATGGCCAGGGGGTGAGGGAGATGGCCAGGGGGTGAGGGCGATGGCCAGGGGGTGTGGGTGACGGCCAGGGGATGGGGAGATGGCCAGGGGATGGGGTGATGGCCAGGTGGGCAGGGTGATGGCCACGTGATCACCATGGTGGACCATCTTGGGCAGGCAGGGTGCTAAGGGTTTTCACAGCCGCCTGCCCAGGGTGACCGTGGACCCAGGGCACTGGGGGAGGGGCGGTGCTAGGGAGCCCTCTGTCAGGAGACCCTGGGCCTCGCACCACTCTGTCCACCTTGAACGTGGCAGTCCAGTCTGGGACATTTCTCACGTCCCTCTCCGACTACCCCACCTGTCCGTCAGACTCCACACCCTGTGGGCCGTTGCCTCTCCTGAAACCGTATCCTCCTTTCTCTGCCCAGAAAACTCCTATGGATCCTTCTCACTAAGCCACAGTGAAGTGTGCTGTCCCTGAACAGAGGAGACAGGACCCTGTCTGTGGGGTGTGCTCCCCGGGGCCCAGTGGAGCTCCTTCACTTTCCCGTGGCTCTGGCATCCACGGCTTGTGACCTCTGCCTCCCATGTCTTGTGGCCTTCTGAGTGTCTCAGTGTCCCAGATTTCTCTCTCTCTCTCTTTTTTCTGGAGACACTCCACACGTCGAGGGTTCACAGTGATCCCCATTTTCATCGAGCCTGGCCGCAGGACCCTGTTCTGGGCGGTCAGGTTCCTGCTCGGGGACCTGCGGCGCTGGCACTTGTGCAGATTTCTCTTTTCAGAGCTGAACATCAAGGTCTCTCGCACCTGCACTGAGCTCCTCGTCCACGCTCCGCCAGAGGCCCATTTTCCTTGTTGGGGGTGCGTTGTGGGGGTGCCCAGGGGTGGGTTCTTTTCGACATGACCACACATGCCTGGAGTTCCGTTTACTGTTTCAGTGACCCCAACCGCCCTCTTCCCCAACTGTGCTGCCCCCGTCCACTCATTTGCTGGCTTGGTTGTGTTGGTGCTGTGTGGATGCCCATGCAGGAGGTCCATTTATACACGCACAGCGCCATCTGTTGAACGCTTTCCACATTCTCCACTCCCCTGCGCACCACCCAGCCGCCCTCTTCCCTCTGCACGGAGCTTCCCTGTGATGTCC